TCATATAATCAGAGGCATCCCTATCTGACAGGGATGGATTTCCATATCTCGCAGGGCACGATTACTTCCTACACCCCTTCACCTCCCGATAGAGTTTTGTGAATCTATCATGGACTGGGTCGTTACGGAGTATGATCCATTCATTCAGAATATATAGGTATGCTCCCCTCTATCGAACATGGCGATATCACACTCAGCTTCATCTTTTTACTCGTCTCGACGTCAGAGCGAAATCATTGTCCACTTTCAACCGTAGTCTCAAGACGGCCCATTATTCCGTCTAATTCATCAATGGGCTAAGCATTGATTCGGACTCCGAGCACGCCGTGCCAGTGTCGTCGCTATTTATCGCCCACACATCTCAGAATCTCAAACCACTCCACATGTTCTGTTACGATCTGACTCGAGAACATCCATGGCTATTGAAAGCGCCATTCTGTCGCTATGTACGCGACCTCGACCTCGGATCCACAGCTGGAGGAGTGGTTCCGACCCTGCGGGTCCTTAGTGAAATCGATCGGAAATGGCCTGTGTGGTCCTTCCTGTGGGGGTCGTAACAATGATGAAATTGAGGTTGTCTGTGCATTCTACCTGGTATCCAGGTGGCATGAATGTATTGAAACTCTGGATCAGTGATGGGTGACCGTGGAAGAGATTCGACACACGTTCGATTACATCCATTATGTCGATTCTATCGAGGATTAGCATCTCTGGTGAGAAACACGATGATTTATAACCCTCACCTCTGACGTTTGAAGTCTTTCATGACATCGAAGAAGTGTTTGCAAACCTTGGGTTTATCCTTAAATTGAAGTCTGACCGAGTCCAGGTACGCCAAGGCGTCGGTGATAAATAACGGTCTGTCTGATGGGCCTTCTCCGGAGGAAGACTTCTGATCCATAGCAGGTTTCTCTGAGGCCATCAGAGTATCTGTAGCTGGAACATCAACGGCTGGTGAAGGTGTGCCTAGTGCAACAGGTGGTGGAAGGTCTAGCAGCTCGTCTGTTAGGTTTCCAGGAGGAGGATTGTCTGTGACGTTATGAGGCTGTGCTGCCACATCCTCGTCGCTCAACATCATGAGCACGTTTGGTAGAAGAAGAGAAGGGAGTGCTTTGGAACGAGATGCAGGGGAAGAATAAGCCGCGTTCGTCCTGTTATAAGTTCACTCAATCGCATTGTTCTCTCGGCGGTCACGGTAGAATTAGATAAGATCATAACGGCTCGATCATCTGCTGTTATCCACAACCACTAAGTCTTGGTTCGATTACTTACACTATCATGACTCGTAACCTTCACTGGCAGGCTCTCGGGACAGTGAAGCAAACAAAGTCGCTTGGATATTTGAACCCCTTTCAAATTAATCGAAGAGGAGGAGGATATATCTTATAGTCTCTATCTATGCTACCGAACATACGCTGCTGCTGATGACCGAATGACTCGGACGTGAGGTATCTCTTTGCCAACTTTTCAAGTACTTATCAGCGGCAACATGAACAACGGCCCCTCGGCCTCGGTCTCACCTTGCTTTCGTTCTCGACTCGCCCATTGAGCGTGAGCCAAAGTGCGTTCACAATGACCTGTGCTCTACCCTCTCTGAAGTCTCTCTCATATAGCTCTTAGTACACTTGGCTGATATCCATCAGTCTCGGACTTCTAGTAGTAATAGAAGCTATTCATATTTTTCAAGCATTCTCGTTGGTGGAGTAACATACTCAAGCAAACGAGCGTGAGTAGGACTGGGGCTTTGGTGGCATAACTTCCTCCGTCAAGCCTTAAATGCACCCCTATCTTCGGTCTGTACTACATCCCACACTATGTATTTCTGCTCTCACTTTCCAAAAACCCAATCACTGAACATAATTCTTACATCCTCAGGCTTCTAATGCGCACACTATTCACCATACCCTGGCTATAAAACCTAAGCTACGATCGTCTTCGCGGCATCAGTAATCCTCAGTATCTCGCTCAACCTCGCTTCAAATATGTCCGTAACGAGCTCCATCTCTTCCGCAGTGTTGTATTCCCCACCAGTCATCCAATGACACTGCAGTTGTCCATCGTACTGATAGAGGAGGTTCATCGGAGGCGGGGCGCGCAAGCGAATACCCGTGATTATGTCTTCGACAATAAGAGTCTTGTTTCCAGAGGAGGGATGGACATGTTTGAAGAGACCGAGTCGGTCCGTATCTCCAATAGAAGACATGATGATCGCCGGGATTCCGAACATACTAGGATCAAAAAACTTGGCTCCGATTTCTTTCTCGATTTCTCGTTGGTACCATGCATCCAACGAGAGCTGAAAGAAAACCCTGGTGAGAAAAGGTTGTGTCTGATGTGAATGAAAACTTACATCTGCTCCCTTCCATCCACTAGCGATATCCTCGACGGCTTTCCAGAATAACCCTTCATCTACCTGGCAAACACCTATTTTCTTGTTGGTGTCTACTTTGACTAATGCCTTAATATTTTTTGCCGGGGCCATAATCGGCATACCGTCTATCGCGCAGAGAGGAGCCCCAGTGGCCGATTTGAAATCATGATAGCCACCAGGTAACTTATGTCGCTATTCCACATCATCAACCAAAATTGATAACACAACGATTTCAGACCACATACGTGGTTCACAAAGTTGAACGCCACCAGATAGACATTGGAAGCCTCATAAGCTTCGGAAACGAGCTTGAACCTCTCGTTGCCCTTTCGACCGGCGATATTGAGGAATGCTTCAATGTGAGCTAGGGCGGATAAAGCTGTTATGACTTGAGTAACAGTTCTTCCATGTTCATTTGTCAGTTGATGTAATTTGGCAGTTGCCTCTTTGGAAAGCTTGGTCAAGCGAGTGATGTCTCCCTTCTTACCCGTCTCCAACGGAGGGTACATCCATGGAATCTTGGACCATTTTTAGTATCTCGTTTTCGGCTGTTTTAAACAACTCCACTTACTACACCGGGAGGAGGTGCTGATCCTGCTGGAGGGATTGTAGGGGGTGCCAGATCCACGATGCTACCTTTCTCGACGATCATCTTGATCAGCGCCGCCGGAGGAACCAGTCTTGTAATTTCGGTCCCCCACTTGAGTGTATCGATGGAGCCTTTGGTCTTGTCGATGACACCAACCAATGCTTCTACAAGCAGGTCCAGGAGGGACATTGCGTTCCGACCATCTATAGAATTGTGAGAGATCACTAGACTAAAGGTACGACCCCAATATACTCGATCAGTCTTCTTAACCTTAGCAGTAAGAAGATATTATCACTAACCTAATGTTCCATCCAGTGGTCATTGGGGAAACGTGCACCTCCGCGACGTAATGATTGTCGCCAGGAAACCAGAGACAGTTGTCTTTCAATTCAACATGACGCTCGTACAACGTGTTGACATCGTCAGAAAAGAAGACTGTTTCAGAGGCCCATTCGTCAACACCCATGAGGGAAGCAGGTAAGTTATACTTGAGGCCAAATCCGCCTCCGGGTTCTGGGAATTGGACACCTCTGGCAGCGATCTGGGGGATCAAATGACGAAGGTGAGTCCAAGCAGCCCGTACTTGCGGCTCGAAGACTTCCCGTGTAGGTGTGAATGTAGGGAATGTGAGGGCAGCGCTGTTAGTCAAGTGTGTAAAGCCGTCCATGCGGGTTCTATGTCATTTTCTGTCAGCCAGTCCAGACAGATTTCAACTTTTGACGTACTCCATGTATGCTGAGAATGCCTCTATACCGAAGCATCTTCGGACGAGCGTATTTTTTGACGAGTCGGTGGGATGCCAGAGGTATTCTTCTGTGGGGTAGAACTCCATGGTAGGTCCCAGGGATATTGAGGTAAAGGGTTTGTTTTCTTTCGATCTGTGTCCGCTCTCTAAATATGCTGCTCTCCTCAGACCTCAAGACACATCTTTGCTAACACTGACAAAAACAATGCATGTTTTACTCTACTTTCCACGTGAAATCGGGCATCACGGCTTTGAAGTGCTACAGTTGAGTTCTATTCGACCAAGTTCGAATTCATCTTCCTGTTGTTGATACAAACGTGATACCGACACTCTTAATGCTGACGCTAGTTTCTTTCCAGATGCTACCTTTGTCAAAAACGTACTCATTGTTCTTCACGACGCTCATAAGACATTCATGCCAAGTCTGCTGTTGTCTCATCGGTCTATCACATTACCGCAAACCCCCGTTTTTCACGTCTTACATCCGTAAGGGTCTGTCTCGCTGAAATATGCCTTTATCAGACATTTAGTCTACACCAACGCCTGAAAGACAGAGGTAGTATCTTCGTCGCCCACCCATAGTGTTCAAAGGTATTCTGCGCAGTCGAGGTGTGTTTCATTTCATCTTCTTCAAGTCATGATAAGTGGCCACCGAGTTGCATCTTACTCTAAGCTCTTCTACGACTTCTCCTCTATACCCTACTAGAAGCGTAGTAATATGTATTGTCACGTACTTATACTAGCACCCCGGTAGAAAATTTGTAGTCTGTGAAGACGAAATTAAATGATGACTCACAAGAATCAACTGAAGCGATGTCAGGAGCTTTCTCCAAAGACTCAGGTTTCTTGGAAGGAACCAATGCTTCCTTGTGAAAGAGATCGGGTTCCGTTAATATCAGCTTCTCTTCCAAGTTCCAAGTTCCTAGCTTCAAACCTGTCACGCCATATCCGTACACTGCGCACTCCGACAATATTATTCGTTCCTTCTTAAATTTCTTCTTCTTTACGCTCGTTACTTCTCTTGCTGTCTATAGTTGTTCCTACAAGTATAAATAGCGCAGTCAGCGTCGCCTCTAGGCTCTCCCTCCGTTCGCTTTCCCTCCCGCTCCCATTCCTTCCTTCGCCCTCAAGAAGACATTCTATCCGTAACACTCCCGCTACATTGACTCTACGCGCATATATTAGGCGGTAGTGAAACACTGGTGCCAGTGAGTACACTATTATCTCAAAATCACCATTCCGCCGACCCTGCTTTTGCTTAAAATCGAGAGCGGACACTAGGCATTACATATCATGGTTCGATGGTGTAGTTGGTTATCACGTTCGCCTCACAGGCTTCTGCTGGTGTGCGCGAGAGGTCTCCGGTTCGAGCCCGGGTCGAATCATTTTACTGGGATTGCAGGACGATGAACTTAGCGGCTGCGGACGGTGAGCCGGGGGTGGAATAGAGAGAGAGGAGCACTGTGGTAGCACTGCTATAGCTACTGCCGCATTTGCGATTGCACGCCTATTGCGTTTGAACGTGCGCCCAGTGCTTGAGCTCTGATCTCTCTTCCTCGTCTTCATCTCCTTCTTCTCTTCTCTCGGCTTCATTCCTCTCTTCTCTCTTCCTTTCTTCAGCCCCCGTTCCATATTCCCCATTCCAGGATGGCCAACGACAAGACACCAACGCAGACCCCGCAGGACGAGTCTGTTGATGAAGAGACCAAAGCCGTCTCCGTGCCAGACTCTGGCGACAGCGGTGAAGGCAAGCTCAAGATGATTGTCTCACTCGTCAAGAAGTGTCTCGGAGTGAAGGATATTGCCTCCATGTATGTTCTTTCCAGCTCAGGGTTCAAGCGTCGTCAATTCATCTATTCTTGATCGTAGGCGGTTGTCTCTTCCCGCGTCCCTGCTCGAGCCTATCCCCAACCTAGAGTACTGGCACTACCTCGATAGGCCCGATTTATTAGTTGCGTAAGTTTGCACGGTCCAACTACTTCGTGCTTTGCTTGACGTCGTTCGTATATGCTTAGGATTAATGACTCTGATGACCCCTTTGAACGAATGCTTGCTGTTGTTCGCTTCACATTCTCCAAAGACCTCAAATTTATCGTAAGTCGCATCTCCGATAGCATACAACGCCACTAACTCCCATATAGCGAGGCAAAGTCTGCAAACCGTACAACTCTGTCCTGGGAGAACACTTTCGTTCACATTGGGATGTTCTCCCTGTGAGCTACCCTTCGGATCCTACCCAACCTCCCATCCAGCATCTCTATCTTTCTGAAGCAGCCGCCAAGTCCAGCTACTCCGTTCTCTTAGCCCCTCGGAATACAGCCGCTCTTTCTGAAACTGCCTCGTTCAAAAGCGGCAAAAGCGGACAGAGCACAGTGAGCGGACTTAGTGTTAACAAGGCCAACTCCACACCCGGAACACCTGGCAAAAGGAGCAACAGCACCCCAGCCACTTCTCCCGAGCTGTTTGAAACCGAGTTGGACGCTCAAATGTCTAGTTTGAGTCTCGGGAGCAGGAACACATCTCAATCAGGCGACCTCGTCGAAGGAGGGAACATCGCTCCTGACCGTGAACGAGCTCGAGTCGCCTACCTGACGGAGCAAGTCTCGCATCATCCACCCATCTCGGCATTCTCTGCCTACTGCCCAAGCCGACAAATCGAGTTGACAGGGGTTGATCAGATCTCTGCCAAGGTTTCTGGGACAACGGTACGCGTCATGCCAGGAAGTTTTAACAAGGGTGCCTTCGTACGTATCAAAGGTGGAAACGGCGCCGGAGAGACATACCAGATCACACATCCCGTGGCTTCGGTGAACGGGCTTCTGCGAGGGAGCTTCTATGTCACTGTCTCGGAGAGCACCATCATCACCTGTACAGGCGCAAGTGAGAATGGACCCCATTATCGCGCGATCATCGAGTACAAGGAGGAAAGCTGGTTGGGGAAGGCTCATTTCCTCTGCGAGGGGGTCATTCACACATACACCCCTGGCTCGCGCGAACATGCTGACTGGACAAAAGTCAAACACGTTCCTCGTTCGCGCGTCGTTGCCGTATTCGACGGATCATGGAAACATCTCATTCGGTGGAAACGTGCTGGTCCCGATATCGACCCAGAAGAGATAGAGTATGCGACGTTGCTCGATATTTCGACGTTACACGTTATACCGAAGACGGTCAGGCCGTTGGAGAGACAGTTGCCAGATGAGAGTAGGAAGCTTTGGGAGAACGTGACTGCCAAGCTGTTGTCGAAGGAGTACAGCGAGGCAACGAGGCATAAACTGGCGATCGAACAAAAACAGAGAGATGATGCGGCAGAGAGGAAACGGAAGGGACAGAAGTAAGTTCTTACCTTTCCCTCCCTCCCCTTCGTCCGAATATCCTATTAATCGCCTCCCCCTATTGTTTTAGGTTTATACCCAAGTATTTCGATTCCGACATCGACTCAGGTATCCCCATTCTGACTGAAGAAGGTCGGAAAGCGTTGGAAGAAGAGTTGAAAGAGGAAGGCCCATACCCCTTAGAACCTACGCCCGAAGGTGCAGCGTTAACCTAATTTAGTGACACATCACACCAGGGCATGATGATGATTGCATAGTTTGCTCAAATTGCATAGTCTCCCCCAATCTGCATTCTCTTGTATAAGTAACAGTTATCTACGCATAGGCATCTGGTGACTCCCCCTTATGATTTTGACGACAGGGATTTTTTTTTCGGACCCTTACATACATCATTTTACAAAGTCTCGACCCTCGGTGCTTGATACTACCATGCTTTTAGATGAAATGATCCTTGTGTATAGATCTAAGTGTTCGTCTCGTTGTTCTATATTTTGCTCGTGAAACTCTGAAGAGGCAATCTCCCGTCTCATCTTTTCAAAATCGGCATCCCATTAGTACGCCGCTGTTGACGTACACGGCAGTACTTCAGTCCGACGATGAGAGCAACCAAAACCGCTACACCCACTACGGTTCCTGCAATAACACCAGCCACACGTCTAAAAGAGTCGAAATTCGTATCTGTGGAAGTGGAGGAAGGTGCCGGACCGGGGGTGGAGGAGGACGTTGCGATGGGTGAGGAAGAACGGCTACTGGTCGCGGTGGGTAGGGAAGAACTGCTACTGGTCGCGATGACTGCGTTTAGACAGGAAATATCGGTGCCGTTTGTGATTGTAAATGGGGAAGAGGTAGTAGGGAAGGAACGTTCAGACGTTATAGCCCGAACGATATATGTTCCACCTGGAAGGTCGACTGGGGACCAAGTGTACGAATTCATTAGACCGGGGTCCGGAAAGGGCCCGAATCGACGCCAATAAAAACGGAATGTTGGTCGTTGTTCGAGACGTGCTTTGTCGATGAGAGTAGTGGGTGGGTGGAAGAAGTAGTTTGTGACAAGAAGAGTGAGATTGTGCAGATCGTCAGAAGTGGACCAACCGATGACGCCAGAGGAACAGGTAGTCATGTTTGGGATCCCGTTGAAGCTGAGAAAAGGCATGGTGGAGATACCAGAGGAGGTAGGGAGGGGGTAATCGGAAAAGAGGGGGAGTGTTGAGCGAGGTAGGGTAGGGTCACTCATGATGCAGATGAGCGTAGGCTCAAACTAGGATAGATGGGTGAAAGGAAACGTGAGGGAAATCGAACGAGGCTCGATCAACTGGATCGAGATATATAGTAGAAAGTCGAACACTATTTTGAGTATGGGAGCTTGGGTCTTCGATTTCAGGGTCGAGGTAAAATGAAAGATGGACGCGCTGTGCCTTCAGGTACCGCCCAGCTCCATGACCATGCGCATGCATTGACAGGAGCAGGAGCAGTATGCATGTCACCTAACGAAGTGTCAGAATGTATATCAGCTCGAGAAGGACAAACTCGACTCGTTCAAAGGACGAGTTTGCTCAGGTCAAATAAGCAGAAACATCTTGATGGTACACACGCCGAGGTGCACTAGAAGTCTAAAAGGAAGAAGCTGTTCACAGAGATCAGGATAGCCATCCCCCAGATCCTGGCACCCAGGATCAAAGTCACACTCCTTCTTAGATGTCTTGGCTAGACTTCGTGGGACGTCTCCCTAAATAGATTGAGCGAAGAGAATTATACGAAAACGAAATGTCTTACCTCTTGAACCCTGTGTTACAATTGTCCAATAGTGTGTTTGAGTGACTCATCGAGTAGTTGATAGAAAAATGCAGAAAGAGCATAAAGTGATTTCATTGTGTAGTCTAATTATAAAAGAGTGGTCAGTATCGATTTGACTTGTATCAAAAAGGCTCAGGGAATCAACGTACACTGTGAACTTTTTGCTCCTTTCGTCATCTCCAACAATCCTTCTAGCACACGATTAGTATTCCAAGTGCTTGCGCGATCTTAGTCAACGACTTCAATCTTGCGAATGACCAGGATACATCCATATCGAGTGCAGTAAGCCGAATGAATTTGAAACAAATTATGTTCCGAGGCCTTCGACGTCAGAACGCACTGCAGTAGTGGCCGTTGAGGGGATACACATTTCAGAGTATTTTTGCAAAAAAACTAGTGGAAGACTGTTAGTGCTAGACTGAATTCTAGTAAGAGTATGTCACCCACATACAGAAGTTCGTTTACCACCGTCATCGGTACCCGCCTAGAATTGAAAATGAGCTCTTGTGTAGCAATGCGCTGAACATTTCCCTGCTTCAAGACAGGAATGACGTTTGCACTGATCATCAAAATATCGCAACCGTTTGAACATTCGAATTACTAGAGGTACGCTGTAGTATGTCGGGTAGCCTTTTGTACTTTTCAGCAGGAAAGTTTAGTAAAGGTAGATGATGAATTTATAACGGCTTACATACCAGCATATATGATACACAGCTTGCGCCCCACCCTACGACACAATCACCCCTCCTTGCATAAAGTATAAAGTATTATTTACCATGTAGTAGTCACGGTGTCAATGCCTTATTCAGTCCAGAGAATATGCTTTGATATATCCAGCTGCTAGACTGAATAAACAACAACTAAGACTTCATCCGGAAATAAAATATTTGCATTCGTAGCTATGTGGGGGTCAGAGGCAGAGTGAGCCTGATGATTCTTCTCGGGCGTAGTGGACGGCGCTAAGCAAGCTAATCGTAACGTCACTGACATGTCCTGGCCTGTTGACACCCTCTTGGACTGCTACCAACTCTACCAACTCTTTCATTTCTCACTTATGTGCTTTTCGAGGCTTTCCACAACGATACTATCATTGAGATATCGATCACTCATACATGTCGACTACTCAAGTACTCACCGACCAATTCTAGCTTCATACAATAGTTATCGTGAAGCTCGCAACTTGACATACACACTCACGCAATGAAGCCATATGGCGGTTACCATTTTTACCCGTATCTACCCAACTTCGCGTTATA